CGCCGTGGATCTAATGATGTTGGCATCAAAGGTCAAATGGAAGAAGCCGTAAAAGCTACCCGCATGACGCCTCTGATTGTGCGCGAGAGCGACCGGCAGCAGCTGCGCCTCGCTGTCAAAGCGGTGCAGAGAAAAGTGCTGCGCACTCGCCTCTCCTTTCCTGCGTCCCGGTAAAGCCAAACCGAGGAGAGGGGTTGATGGAGACGACTCGTGTTTCCTTATTTGAGGTCCGAGGAGCACCAGGGGCCGTTGAGAGTCCCGCAAAAGGTCCCCCATTGAGGGGAAAAAAAAAGAAGTTTAATTTAATTAGCCTAAATAATAGCCTTAAGTGAATGTGTAGAGTTTTTGGATTACATGGCTCCAATAGTCCATGTTGATTTTACACCAGTGTTTGAATTAAGGGGAGCCCCCCCACACACACACACACAGGAGACCAGCTGAGCTCCCAGAATGCAATAGTTCAAGTGCTGGGGTCACAAAAACTGATGATTAGCTGTTCATTTGAGCAAAATGTCTACTCCTGCGGTTGATATAAGAGATGGAGATCATCGTAATCAAAAAATGTAATAAATTAAGAGAAGCTAAAGCTGGAAGTGATGCCGTTTCTGCAGGTGATGAACCTGAAAGAGAGCTGAGATGCATATTGTCTCATTAAGTGGAGACCTTTTAAATTGTTCACCACTGCTCGGGGGTCACATTGTTCTGCTTCATTAATGTTTCTGAATCTTATTGGTCTGTTTTTAATATGCGCGTGACTCCACTTCTGTCTGTAAACTGTAACTATCTCCTGGCATGGTGTGCATATGGTGTCGGTTATTGGATCAACACGTGCATCGTGTATTTCTATCTGTGCCCTGTGTAACTTTTTGTTGCCAGATCAGGTGACTGATCTGACTCCTCTTAATCATCTTGTGCACCTTGTGTGGACACTCGGGAGTAGAGGATGATGTGTATGTTTTCACTGTCATGTAAAGCAGATGCAGTTGTACAGATACGGCAGTTAACCGGCAGAGTTCTTTCTATTCTCATTCCACTTATGTCAGAAGGTGTACCAAGAGTACGATTTTAATTTGAACACTTTCTGTATCTGTTTCATTTGAATGGCTCTAAAGACAAATATCTGATTAAAGACTTAAAACAACAAATAGGAACAGAAGGCCCCAGACTTTACAGTAAACACACATCTTCACTCTTCTAAAACAGGCCTGAATGACTGCTATCACCTGCTATCATGTTCTGGTGACCTTTGCAGGCTAATATCTGCAGTCATTAATACCCCTGCCCTGACACTGTGTGTGTGTCTGTGTGTGTCTGTGTGTGTCTGTGTGTGTCCGTGTGTGTCCGTGCACGCCCTCTTGCAGCAGGTGTTCGTTTGGTGTGTCAGAGTCGGTGGGGCGAAGATCTTCCAAAGTTAATATTGTGTTTCCAGAGATGATGGGGAGTTCACTGTCCCCGCTTTATTTACACATTCTAAATTAATTAAGCGAAAGGATTCCTCTGTCTGTTGCAAAAACACGGAGGCTGGAGGGAGACTGGGAGCAGCGAAGGGGAGGCTGTGATTTATAGCGGCGGTGCAGCTAGAGCCGCGGCTCGCCTCTCCTCCAGGCCGAGGGAGCCGCGGACCGGGCCAACATTCCTCTGCGGGGGCGTGGAGGCTCGTCTGCCACAGACACAGACACACACACACACACACACACACACACACACACACGGAGGAAAAAGAGAAAGATGGGGGGGGTAGGTATAGGGGTTAAGATACAGTCCTATTTGTTTCGTAGAAAAGTGAGAGACGTAGCTTATGAGTTGCTGGTTTATTAGAGGAGAGCGTCAGAGGGGTTGTCCCCAACCGGTCTCCAAAGTCGGGTACCACAGACTTTCTGGACAATATGGAGCGGGATGAAGGCCATGTCTTAAAAAAGTCAAATCTGGATGGTTTGTTTTCATTATTAGCAGTCCTATACTCCCTGAAATATAACCCAGCTACAGCAGTTTCCAATTGAACAGATCTGCGGCCTGGTGGGTCTCTCTTCTGGGGAACTGTAACGTTCAGGAGACTGCAAGGTTCAGATGAAAATAGTCGACTTTCCAAATCTAACACCTGCTTTTGTTCCTAAGTGATCAACAGAAAATAGAACTACAATAATTATACAGGTGTTTTTGTTAAGCACCTGCTCCGTGTGTCTTGATCGTCCTATCTGGCAACATCATGTTTCTGCATAATAAATCAGCCCGTTAAAAGGCAGAATTAATTATTAAGGTATACGGTTCAGGGGGACTAAAACGCCAAAGGATCCTAAATATGTGTGTGTGTGTGTGTGTGTGTCCATATAGCACTATGTTAATGATGTGCTATAATAGGCCACTGTGTAAGGTATAGGCCTACACTTTGTAGCTTCATTAATGGAGGGCATATATTATATTATAGCCTAGTTGTATACATTTTGTGAAGAATGTCTTTAAACTGTTTCAATTGACGAGCCTGAACTTGAGGCCCCATATGTCTATTACACACACACACACACACACACACACACACACACACACACACACATGCACACACAATGCACACAATGCACACACAGTGGTGTCAGCACAGCCTCTGTCCTCGCGCCCTTCAAGACGCAGCAGTGCACTGTGCATCGATCAGGGACGCCACGTTATTGGCAAAGCAGGAGAAGATTTAAGCAAAACGATTTCATTTAATCCCCTGCTGTCACGCGCGTTTAGCACGGAACTCTGATGATAATTTGATGATGATGATAATAATAATACGGTCTATAATCACTTCATCTCATATGATGTAGGACTTTCCTTGCGAATCTCAAAAGGAGAAGAAGAGATAAATCTAACGTTGACATCTTCTATAATATATTATATACATACGGGTTCATATCTGCTTCTACGCCCAAACGGAGCACATGGGAGCGCTTAGACGGGAATTTCCTTAAAATGTATAAATGTGTTGTTGGTGACTGTCGAGTCATTTGGCTGTCACTTCACATATCACTCAGCCCTGGTTTGATTTGAGAGGAAGTCACGATAAATGACGGATGTCGTGATGCCTAAATAAAGGCATGCTGGGACTGTGGGTGGTCCTGAAGTGACAAACCCGCATCCTTCTGAAATATACGAACGCGTCAATATATATGAGCGGTGATGGGATCCCATTAGGACGAACACGAAAAAATAAAGGGCTGCTGGGAAGAAGATCCGCCCCGGATGTCTAACGTGTTCCGATGTCTGTGGTGGTTTTGAGGAAGAGCGAGTTCCAGGTCTATTCTGGTCGCGAGCCTGTAATCTTTACAAGCGGAGATGGACGGTGATGGTGCGCGTTCGACCTGAAAATCCGTAGAAATGGGTTCAGTCTGCAATCGTCCGTTTTCAAAGGCCGGTGTCTTTGGCTGAACCTCCTCATGGCAGATCCAGTGCGCGCCTGCGTTATTGCTTTCTGTACCCGTGAGTTTTATTAGCTTAGTTTTCGTTCCTGCCGTTATTTAAACGTTTTTTAACCACCTCTGCAAACGCCTCATGTGGATTTTTAATGGACTGATGCGGTGCGTAATGACTCCCTGCCAGAGCGAGCGTGCACAGAAAAACTTCAATAGCCTGCTAAATGTTTTTTCCACCTCATTTACTCCGTAAATTATGCATGCAGGATATCAATTAACACCACGGATACACGGCGGGAGAAGCTCTAATCAAAATTATTTCCCCAAAATCCTCACGCGATATTTGTCAAATGTCCAATTTGCACCAACTGGGAGAGAGAAAGGGAATAAAGGCTGCGTCGGGATAAAGAAAGTAGTCATGTGTTGGTTTTCGTTTCAAAGACTTTCAGTGAGCTGTGCTGAAGGAAAACAGAGGAGTCAGCCCTCCCACCCTTCATCCTTAATAATCATCTGTCAAAACACCCGCAAACTAATTTAACCATTTTGCACACAGATCTGGTAAATAAAGGAGGCTTTACACCCCCTTCTGTCTGGAAACATGTGCTCCAACAACTCTGAAAAAGACCAATGGGCCTGTTTTTCTGTGGCCGGACGAGTCCCACTGCTTCTTTTATACGTATCCCGAGACAACACACGATGACATGAAAGCGGAGCAAACCGAGGGCCTTTAGAGAAGATTGCTTTTCAGGGTCTAAATGTGTGTGGTTGGTCTCACAGGGGACCGCTCGCTGCGCGCACATTCACTCCCCTGGGCCAGGGCTCCGCACTGACAACATCAACAAACGGCCAAAAAGCCGCATTATGGTGGATTAGGGAGCCCGATGAAAAATGCTGCTACAAATTAGCAACGAAAGCCCGAAAGACCGTGGGTATATCCTTGTTCACTTTCAATTACAGACCGCCGAGGCCTGCTAACGCCCCCATTCAGTCGGGGCCTTTGTAACTTGCTAGAAAATGGTCCTTTACAAGCGAGCGAGAGCCACACAAGAGGAATACTTGCTCACTGTTGCGTGATATTCATGACTGTTATATACATCGAGTCGTGTTTGAAATATTTCCACTGAATCTGGTGCGTTTTTCACACCTGAAAAGAGTCCTGATTAACTGCACAAGAGACTCATCTTGTGTTTTTTGTGTGTGATCAGCTTATTCTAATCGGTCAGTGTCCACACATCAATGCTTTATATTTATGAGCTGCATGACTAGAACAAGAAAAGACTAAATTAAATGTTAAGATTTGACCAGAATGTGCAAATATAACAAGTTGAATATTTTACTGAAGGGAAACTCGTAAAAAAATATTTTAAATGAAAAGAAATAAAACGTTGACTTTCATTTCTTTTAATTTGACAAAAATAAGAATTTAATTTAATTAAACCCACGTGCTGCAGTTTAGTCTATTTTAAACCCTTCTTATTTGTTTAACTCTGAGGAATCAACTTTCCATGGAATAAAAAAATAAATTAACGATTTGTTGTTTTTTCAAATTCACAAACATTTATTATTCTTGTCATTACAACAAAAAAAATGACCTATGAACATTTAGGTGTCTCTCTCTCTGTCTCCTTCTCTCTATTGGCAACACATGACATACTGTATGTTTCACAGAGTAAAAATGTGAAATAGATAAGAACGGACAACACTTAAAAAGTTGAGAGAGGTAATGCGCTCTTTTATACCAAAACCACATAGCCTACGTGTCCACTGACGACATGAAATGACATTGTCACAAATTCACCATGTAGAGGAGATTCATTGGAGGAGGGAGTGATAGTGGGAAATGCTTATTCTTGTGTCAGAAGCCCCCCTTTGTCTCCGTGTGCTTTCTAAGTAAAACCTGAGTTTGCCGTCTCTGTCAGCCTATGTCAACAACAACAGTGCCATTTTCTCACAACGCACGAAATAAAAACAATGCAGGTCATAATAAAATGCTCAACTATTTAAAAAGAAATCATCCCCGTAGCCATAGGTGACACCTTTTAACTTATGTTAAAAATAACAGGATCTTTTTTTTTTGTCTTCCACTGACAAATGGAGGCCACGCGCCAGATTGCAGGTCAGCACTGTTTAAAAAGACCCTTCTTGCATTTGTCTCTCAATACTATACACGTATTTACACACCATAAATAAAGCTCTCTCCTCTTACAATGATAGGAAATGGGGAGAGCCAGGACACTCTCTTTTTTTCACCAAGAATGTACAGCCTACCTTCACACAGGAAGAAGCCACAATTGGCTTTATAATAAAAGATTTTCACTCTTTTTTTTTTTTTTTTTTTAGAAAGGACAAGTGTTCATATTTGGGGTTTTGCTGGAAAAAGTCTGACCCTGTGACCCGGCCTGTAATATGCTGTCCTGCGATAGGCTCAAATGATTGGAAGCGGAGGCCAGCGCTGGGGTTAATATGGCCAGGATCTGAGCCTGGCTGCCCGGCTGCACGCCGTAGGAAGAGGCGGTGGAGTTGGCCGCACCGATGATATTGTCAATGGAGAAAGAGGGCCGACTCGGGGTGCTGGAGTCCGTCTTGAGAGGCGGCAGAGACGGGCTTAGTTGGGGATAAAAAGGCTTTCTTAAATCGGCCCCTAACAGGGAGGGAAGGTGATGCGGCGCGGAGAATATGGAGGCTGACGAGGGCAAGGTGCAGGGGGCGTTGGGGAACGGGAATGAGCCACCTGTGTGGTGCGGGTGATACGGGTTGTGGGCTGCATGGAAGTTCTGCAGCTGAAGTCCATAGTTGTATCCGTACGGGCCGTATCCAAACCCAGGCAGAAAGCCACCAGTCTCCCGGAGGATTTCATTAGTTTGGTGCCTCTTGAAACGCTTCCTCCTCCGCAAGAAGCTCCCGTTGTCGAACATGTCTGCGGAATCCGGGTCGAGAGTCCAGTAGTTGCCCTTCCCGGGGTTGCCGGGCTCTCGGGGGATTTTCACGAAGCAGTCGTTTAAGGAAAGATTGTGGCGGATTGAGTTCTGCCACGCGGGGAATTTCTCCCGATAGTAAGGGAATCTGCTGCTGATGAACTCGCAGATCTCGCTGAGAGTGAGGCGCTTCTTGGGGCTTTGCAGGATGGACATGGTGATCAGGGCGATGTAAGAGTAAGGGGGCTTCACGAGAGCGCCTTTTCGGGATTTCTCCCCGGTCCCGACCTCCGCGCTGGAACCCATCTGGTCTGACGGGCAGTCGGAGCTGCTGAGCCCGGGAGAAGAAACCCTCTCTGCCGCGTTTTGGGAGTAATTATCGTCCGAGTCATTGTCCAAGTTGAACTCGTGGTGAATGTACTTTCCGTCCTTTCCAACGGATATGTCGCCCCCAACCACGTCGATGTCCACATCTTCGGACAATGCAGAGCTGTCGGACATATCCGCCCCTAAAGTCATCCTCGGAGACGCCGCTTCTCTTCCCCCCTCTCTCCCAGATTTCCTCCTCCTCTAGTCCGGCGAGGCTACTCTCCCTCTCCCCCCTTACAACCACACAGGGCTTTTGCTGCAGCTTTATCTCCAACTACTGAATGCACACATGGCTAGAATCTATTGAAAAGATAAATTACTCTTTGACCTGTGGATCTGGCGACTCCTGGTCGTCCGAGGCTGGTCAAGCAGGGCCGTGCGAGCTTCTCATCGAGCAGACAACTTCTGGCGTTAAAAAAAACAGTCGCAGATCATCGATCTTGCGCCGATTTAGACTTCTTCACTTCCGGAGATGTGATTGTTTCCGTCTGTGATCAGTTTGTGCTGTAGCTCGTTGAGAAAGCTACTTCTGGATCTCCAAGTATCGTTCCAAAATATCTTTTCCGCACGGGGGTTGGGTAGTTATCCAGCCAGACTATCACACTATCTCCTCTAGCTTTCAAAAGGTATTTATAGGACCATGCTGGTCACGTGGTCTTTGAGTCACTGTTACCAGGAACTGGACGAAATTGCCGTGCAAAACGTAATATTTGGTCTGCTCTTGAATCATTCAAACATATTTCGATAAAAAAACAACTTAACAAAGAAATATCAAAAACATGTTGCCTCTTCAGGCAACTTGTATATGGGCAATATCAGTTGTTCCTGTGAATATAATCTTATTTCGAGAATTTAAATAGTAATACATTTACTTATTGGAGATATCCCTTATTATTTTCTTCATCAATATATTGACAATTTATTACGAACATAAAAAAATTCGGGTATGAATAAAAATGCTTTAAAAACAAAATTGTTTCAACGATAACCCAAAAACGATGTTTTTCATTGAATCATTGAAACGCGATTTATTTCTGAACATAAGGTTATTAACGATTAATAATATCAATAATACATTATTTTATTTATTAAAATATACATTTGTTATGATTATTATTATTAAAGCTTCGCTCCTTTTCAAACCCAATGTAGGCTATTTGTTGGATTCAGAAATATTGTACTTAAAATGTGTGCCCTTAATCTGTAATATAAAGTTAAATATAATAATAAATACCCGGATGTCATTAAATAGGCCTATTATCACTATTTTAATTTGGTTTTTAATTAACATGTTTAGTTTTTGTTCAGACGTAAGACATTTCGACCTGTTACATCAGTTTTTGGTTAAAATGTTAAATGAGCTCTTTATTCTGTCTCCCTAATAAATTGGCTGATTTTTGGCCGTATTGAAATCCCCCCTCAAAGGTTTTGGCCAGTCGCCTAATTCCCTGATCACTTCCCACGGGTTTTGTTTTTTCCTTGTCAAAAAGTCACAACACTATACCCATCTGCATTTTCTGCATAATTCACAAGGGCACACCGGGGCATGGTGAGCTGCAACCTGCTCCGATTCGTCTTCGTCAGGATGAAGGCCAGCAGGGATGACGACGTGTAATGTGTCTGTAATGTGTACGGGCTGACATGCAGAAACACAAATGTAATGCATTTACATCATCAGCACCACATTAATCGAATTGTCATACTTGGGGTAGAGTTTCATCTAATCTCAACTGCAGTCTGATTTGTTTGTTTGCTTGTGTTATTACTCTTTATTGAAGGAGAAGACTGTTCCACTGAGGAGGTTAAGCATGCAGCTTCTCCTCTGGTCTGACCTGCCTGTCACAACAAGTCCTTTCAAATCTGAAATAGACGCACTGAGACCAGCCTGGCAGCTGCCCGACACACATGACGCATTACTTTCTCCACGCCTCAGAAGCAGTTATATGTTGTAGAATAGATTTTTAATCATTTAAAAAAAATCACAATTAGAATTGTATTTCAATCCAAAAGCCAAAACAGTTTGCAGCCAATACATTTTATTTGTTTATGCTTATTTTTGTATCTATTTGTCTTCCATTCTTAGTGCCTATACTTGTTGATTTATTCTGTGTTGGAATATATTTGAAGATATTACCAATATTGTATTTGACAATAAATAGACTCAAATATATACATGTATTTTGTGTAGATACAAAATTATAGGGCTGTTTTAATTTACAGCTCTTTTTGTTGTTAATTGTAAAAACATATTAAGCTTCCACAGCTTGCCTGCACATATGTCATTTTGTTTGGCATTTGGTGAAAGATGCATTATTTTGACGTTGATTGAATTAGTTAAATTGAACAACCTGCAGAACGTGCGCTGTGTAGAATGTTACAGGTCCTTCAAGTTTCCAAAGGTTCAATGAGGTTTCTGTGAATTGTCCGAATGGAGTTTCTCATCGTCGCAGTTTGTGATGCTGAGGCGCCCTCTGCTGCTGAAACTCTGACAGTTATGGCTATTGAGATGACATTAAACACCAGTGTTGCGTGGATCATAATACAAATGAAAAATAGATATATTGTTGAGAGATTTTGAGATGGGGGCAAATTAGTTATTTCATTTTATAGTTTTTTATTTTACCAGGATATATATGAAGCATAACAAGTTTCACATAAAAGAACAAACAACAGCCTTCAAACAAAACAGCAAAAAGAGGTTCAAACAGGCAACATTTGTTAATAACAGGCAGTAGCCTCATTTCAGTATTCAAATATTGTCTTTTTAAAAGAACATCAGAGCATAAAGTGTTAATTGTGTGTATTCCTGTGTATTCCGATGTTTAAGGCCATTTGCATTTGGTTCTCAGACAGATAGTGAAAGCTAAGGTTGAATGAAACAAACTCTCCAAAATAGGGTATAGAATTGATGAAAGCTTCAAGTTAATGGATAACCGTTGAAGTCATTAAAATTGACCTAAACAATTATCAAATAGACCAACAATCGATTAATTCGCTGTCAATCAACTAATTGATTAATTAATTGTTGGGTACTTTCATTTATAACGAGACATCATATTTCATAGATTGTATTAAAGTAAAATAAATATTTCCTCTGAGGTGTAGAAACCTCAAGACAACAAGTGGTAACTGAAGCACGATGCTGAAAAACTCTCATGAGGTGTGAAGCCATGAAGGAGCACCTGATGCTTTGACTTGCAGCAAGAAACACAGTTCTAGATTTAGCTTTTTTAGACGTCACATCACGCAGAGACATTTCAAACACAGTGAGCTTTGTTGCATTACATCTTTAGCTGTTAGACATTGTAAATGTAATGTCCCAGTGGTGACGCCAGCCCCTCACAATTATTTCAGTCCAGGTTGTGTTCATGAACAGGTGACTTTATTATTGTCATCTAGTTATAAGAAGATTCAATTCAGCATGAGAAACAAAAATGTGACGTAGAGACGACGTTTAATCAGCTTTCTAATAATGTCTCAATTTCTTTACAAACTGTCTCTATACGCATCCTCGTTGAATAGTCAAAACCATTTTAGCAGTTTAATTAGAGTACATCTTTTCTGCACAAGACAATATTTAGCAAGATGTAGAACACCCAAAATGTATGACCAATACTTCCTCCAGTAAAAACTTTTATGGATGGATTGATGGAGAGATGGAGATATTTACTTACTCACTCACTTTATTAATCCCAGAAGCAACTGTGCAGTACTTATCAATACATAACGTATAAATAAAAGAATTAGGAATATACAAAATTCTTATCTGTTCTCTCAAGCAGTGGTTTCATTGTTGACTGTTGACCAGAATTACTGTAGTTATATATCCTTGTAAATGAGTGAAAACAATCCCACATCTTGCTTTTGCTTCCATCTAGTGGTGGGAAGTCTGAACCTGTACATTCACACAGAGTGAACTAACAGTTGTAGAATAACTCATGAGGTTTAGCTGGTTAGAAGGCCCTTCTTTTTTTAATTTGGCCATGCTGACAAACTGCTTTAAAATAGCTGTAAAAGTCCAAGTTCATGAAATATGTTGATGCATAGTTTTCTAGGTTCTACCTGTTTCATATATGTTTGATCTGATTGACCCACCAGCTGCTACATCTGCCCCTTTGGTGCATCAATAGTTTGAGTGCAGTATAGATTCAGTGTCTGAGTGTCTCAACATCAGACCAGGATATAACACACAGACAAATGAATACAGCCATATTATTCATAAGCATTCAAACCTGAGCAGAAACAGACTCAGAGCTTTTGATTATTGCATTATAATAATACTTTTTTTGCATCTGTATCTTTCAGTGTTTTTATGAGTTGTGTTTTTTTGAACAACTTTAACATTTAATCGGGAACCTCAGAATGTGACCACTGGTTGCACCGTCACTGAACAGCCATGATGAAAACTGTCCCAGTTGTGCTACGAAGATCTGTAAACTATTTTATTTCTGTCACCAACACCAAATATGCCTCTTTTTTTTTCTTCATTTTAATATGACTTCAGGTTACTTCACTTCACAGATTTTGATAAATTGGTTACTATTTTGTTTATCGATTAACCAATTCATATATATATTGACTGATACTTTAATATTGTACTTTATCAACAGTTAAGGCAAATTCAATTTAAATTATATGTGCATCCAGACCCTTGAATTTTACAATATTTTGGGGAACATAAAACCCTTTCACAAGTATAAATATAGCATTTTTTAAATTAAAATATCCTGAAAAGGGGAAAGAGACGAGTTAAATTCATTACAGTCTGAGTAAGAGCTTTATATGGTGGAATTAAAAGTAAAGAAATTCATTCTGGAAAACAACCTACGAGCTAAATTGTTTTTATAAAATTGTGAAGTTGTAACAAACTTCAGTCATAACTGTAAAGGTGAATACACATTTATATAACATTAGTTAGTCATTGTTGTTGGTACAATATTTTCTCTCTCTCTGTTTGGACAATATGTAAACAGATGGGAACATTCGTACTTCATTAGTACACCGTTTGACTAATTCAGTCAATAAGTTTGATCAATAGTGTTGACTT